CCGTTTTTTTTTTTTTTTTTTTAATGTAAGGTATTTTTCGAACAATATCGGAATACACGTATAAATCGCTGCGGTGTCGTTGTGATATTTTTTATATATTACACCGTAGCGCTGGTGTGGCGCTGTTATCGTGTGGGGTGTAGACGCGTGCGTATTTTTATAATGATTCCGGGGCTTATAGACACGTTTTGACGGTCTTGCGTCCGCGAATACGTAGAAAAAAAAACCTTTACCTGTAGGATAACGGGGACGGGTGCAGCCACTGTTATTTAATGTCTATCTGTAAGCAACGGTTGTAATGTAATAAACGATTCTGAACCGAGTTCGATTGATAGTGTTGCTTTTGCAACAATCTATATACGACGTCGTATTATGGTCAAATAATTACATAATATGATGCTTTCTATATTTTCTTCAATATTTGTTTAATATCGTACCTATTTTTCCGTTTTCCCTACGATTTTCCCATTTGTTATGAAAACAGCTGGGAAAATCAAATAATTACCCCTCTAAAGTACCACCCCAGTCAGATTTTCTTTCAGAAAAAGTGCTATCGTTGTTAATCGGAGAAAGATTTCTGGTAGAAAAGTTGTTTACAGAAAAAAAAAACAAACATCATTGTAAAACCATAAACTTCTTCGCTCCATCCAGAGTCTTAAACGAAATAACATAAAACTTAGGAACTGATCGAATAATATTATAAATATCCTACTATCGTTCCGTATCACGCATAACAGTATATTTTTTATTTTCGTTTAAATATAGCCGATTCGCGACGCAATTTGAGTGTTTTTTTCCGTCCGACAAGTATGCGTGTTGCTCACCTGTATATTGATGGTTACGGTCACACTCAACGACATCGTCCATTATCTGTCGTCTGCTTCGACAACATATTATGTGTATATATTATATGTACTTTTATTATTATTTTTTTTTTTTTTGTTACCTATTACGATATAAAAATATCGAATTTGTCTTTATATTTTCAATATTATATTCATAGTAATATTATAATTTAAGAACAAACGCATATGGTATTGATTATACACCAGGGAAGAAAGAATTTACTAATTACATTTATTTTTGTAAACGCTACCATTTAAATGTTTACACTATATTATATTATTTTTGTTAGGTTTTATAAAATTCTATTCTATATTGAAATGTGCATACGGTCTGTATATATTTAAATAATAATATTATGCCTATACACACAGGCTGTTCCACTACGATATAACTCTTGAATATCTCCGGAGGTAATAAAGATAATAAAATTCTATTTTTTTTTATTATTCACGTCTATTAATACGTGTGAAAACTAATGTTATCGCATAACGCGATTACGTTATTCCCTAGATAACATAGGTTTTCGCACGGAGTAGAATTTAAAACGGCCGTTACGTAGAAAATATTCATCGGCTATAAATGCGTGATGCGTTTAAATTTTCAAGAAAAAAAAAAAACTATAGAACGGCTATCGTAAAATTTTCCGAAAATAAAAAAATCAAAGGTTATTTTTTTAAAACTGTTCACTATAAATATTTGTAGTCCCTGTGGGCTGCGAGTGATATATAAAAAAAAAAAAACAGAATTTAATTATCTTTTTATCATCTCCGGAGATATTCGATGGGCGTATCTCCGCGGGACAGCCTGCATATGTAACCACATCGACGTTTTCACGTTCTCGAGAAATCGTTTTCGTTTCCGGTTTTTTTTTTTTTTTACAAAAATCAATTTTCTCTCGTTAAAATGCCATTATTCTTGTGACGGGCATCCGGCGCCGTGCCGCCGTGCCTCGTGCCCGTATTGTGCACCGTACAGTCGCGTGTCGTGCCGTTATGCGCGGCGCTCAACGGCTATCGACGGCGGCGTGTAACGTCCGTTCGTTACGGAAATAACGTACGTCCGTGTTGTACTCGACGCGTACGGGCGGCGCTTTCGAACGGGACCAAAAAATAACAGCGTCCGACACTCGGACCGTTGTGTCTCGGTAAATGCGATGGCGCGGCGGTACTCAACGAACGGTCAGCGTTTGGGGGTGTCGAACATGCGCCGCATGTTCGTTCGTTTCGCCTTATTTCACGTAGGTCAGGTCAGGCGGGGGCCCGCGTAAAACGTATGCGATCGTTGCGCGTGCGATTTGTTCGTAACCCTCGCGTCCGCGTCAGTCACCCGCGTGTCCCTTCGAGTGGCCCCTTCCTAATAATAATAATACAACGGGTACGGGGAAAAAAACGCTTTTTTTTTTTTTTTTCCAAACCGGCGATATTGGCGTCAAACGGTTTGCGTTGACGGTGTACTGTGTCGTTCGCGCGATCCCGACCGGCGAGAAACCCCGACTAGTCGAAAGTAACGAACGCCAAAAGCTCAGGCCTACGCGGGAAAAAGCAGGCGAGTCAACTGATACCGGGAAAGAACCAGACGCGAGTGTAGTCGGGCCAATACACGGCCATACAAAAGCCGTGGGTAATAATGTAACACGACATTCTTGTGTTGTGGTTACTACATTTCAAAGTTTAACGTTTACATAATCCGGAACGTTTTACTCTGTTCCGGTTTTCTTCCCCGTGCGCCTTCGTTTTATATCTACGGACCAAATTATTGTACTGTTATGCGCACGATCTAAATGTTAGAAATTTTGAGTATGGTGTTATAGGCGATTGCCAAAAATATTTTTTATAGATCTTATAACCAATAATATGGATAAGTTTTGCTAAAATCTGGAGAAACAAGAAACTTCCTAAAACCGTCCATTAGTAAAATATCCGTCACGATGATAGGATTGGGAGATAAGCATTCCGGACACTACACTCAGTTTAACGAGAATAGTTGAAGGAACAGCGGAAGAAAAAAACGGTAGTGGAACACCTTCCTTAAGTCATATTGCCCGGATAATTTGGAACATAAATTAATAACACATCGCACTGTGAGCTAAATAAGAATGCGGGAATTATGTATAGTTGCTGCCAACCAGGCTAAAGGCTGCTAAACTTAAAACGTATTACATGATCTAGGCAAAACATATTATTTTTATGTAAAACGTATGTTATTTTTATTGCGACAAAACGTTGAAATGTAAACGGTAACGAGTATACCATATAACTATATGATAGTTAAATGCGGAATACAGTATGACAGCCCGTGTATATAGATAACACTGATAACCGGGTCAACCGATCGGCGCCAATTAAGCACACATAGTCCGCGGGACTTTCGAAATAGGTAGTACCGTTGATTCTATAATAGACTGCAGGTAAGCAACTATGTAAGGGTTTTATAAAATCAATGGTTGTGCCCTTACTTTTGTTGCTCTGAATACCGTTCGCTGAATTATGCGTTTGCGAAATCAAATAACATATCGGTTATTTGCGTCATTCGACATACTATCCCTCGCTGATTTGTCTATCGCGCGAAGAAACGAATAACTAAATAATAATAAATGCATATATATACACATATAAATACAAGGTTTTCCATGAAAATTCGACAAATGCAATAACTTTTGTTCTGTTTAATACCTCAAGTTTTTTTTTTTTTAATAATTTCCATGTTCTCGCGATATGATTCCTCTATTTTTTATTTGTATAAAATAAAAAAGACGCAGGATTTTATGAATATATTTTGAAACGAAATGTCGATATTAAAAGTATTTAATTATGTATAATAATTGGTAAGTTTCTACAAATTTCGAAGTTTACACAAAGTTATTTTTCATTGAAAAATTGGTGAATGGATTGATATTATTTTTTGAAATTTTAAATAATTTAAATCAATAAGGTAAACCATGGTAACATTCTAATAAACGAACCTAATACGCGTTTTGAATATTAAAAAAGTAAATTTAATTCGATTTTTTTCAGCATATATTATATTATTATTGTGTTCGAGAAACGTTGCAATTGATTCTGCGAATTTGTATTTTTTCTTTCCTTACGAATTACACAAGTGACAGTTATTGCGCAATATTATTTACCACGGGTTGAAAAACATCTTATACGCATAATTTAAATATTATCTAGCACATATAGATATTGAATCGGTATAAAATCGGTATCACAGTGTGTATAATGCATAATATCGTATTATCGTATTATAGGTACTTATTATACCGTGTAACATATTTCGTTGTGATCAATAAAGATATCAATCAAGAATTCACTATAATGGGATATCGGTTCCCAATTACTAACGCACTATAATACAGATAGCACTAGTTGACAAGTATCGTGAACAACGATCGGGCATAAAAAATTTTAGTGACATTAAGTTTTATTGAAATAGTAGATAGTATTACGTAAGCAATACAAATTTAAAATAAATTAAAAAACTTATTTTTTCGGTTTAAAAAAAAAAAAAAATATTAATGTAAACGTATGTGAATAAATTGAAATGAATTCGTTTGATTATTATTACATACGAAATTGGATACCATAAAACAAAAAAATAGCTACACATAAATTGAATTGATAGGACGTAATAATTTATAATATGTATAATGATTAATTATTTACACGTAGGAACACGGTCGTTTTCTATGTCAGTGTTTTAGTCGAATTTTATTCGCAAATTTAACAAGACCTTATTTATTATGGTGACTACCACAATCGAAATTGTTGTATACGTGGCCCAATGTCATTTATCATATTTTTAATTCGTTTTCATTTGCCGCATATTAATGGTGTTTGTGGTTTCGAAACGTGCCAATTGGTTCCCGGGTTGTTGTTTCGAAGGGTATATACGAATGGTTAAATAGTTATTACGAAGAGTATGTCCGAAATGGGTCCCAGATTAATTTAAAAGTAATTTCAATTTCCCTTCCTGTTTCATACAGATTTATAATTGTCTACACATTATTCGGGTATGGTTAAAAATTGTGTATTATGTTTAAATTTTTGTTGTATTATTTTTTTGAAATGTTTTTGTTTTTTTTTTTCTGTATATACGGAAACCGAACACCGGACGCGGCCGGGAACCGTATCGAAATCGCGTCGCCGGCGCGCACACACGCGCCCGGCCGCACGTAACGAACACCTGTTTTATTATTATCGTCTGCCGGGCCTTTGCGACGCGCGTGTTCCGCGAGAAAATCGGCTGCTCGAACGCGTGCGTGCGGCCGCGGTCGTACACGCCGTCGGAACGACCCCGAAAACGTCGTAAACGTATTATTATTATTATTATTATTGTTATTATTCCGTATACGACATTACGGTTGGTCGTCTAGACGCCGGTAATGAGCGAAAATATAACATTGCGCGGCTGTGCATACACGTATGTGTAGTCGTCGAGGTGAGAAGGTCATCGGTATCGTCGTTTTTATAGTTTGTGTCGGTCCTCGGTGACGACACCTTAATCGAACCGCCGCCGCCGTCGACGGGGTCGTCGGCATAACGATTTTATTATTAAAAAAAAAAAAAAAAAACAGACGCAAACACACACGCACACGCACACGCCGCAAAGTTTATGAAATTATTATCTCGGGCCGTCGCGCCGACGGATACGGTTTGACGTATTGGCATTATACCAGAAAAATAAACAAATAGACATCGTCGCGTATACCTAATCGACATTTGTATATATGTCAACAAGACGTAACGTTCACCCGTACAATATACAGTCCAGATGACGGCCGCGACGGTATCGCATACTATTATTAATAGGTAGGTATCGATATCGAACGATTTTTTTGAAAGTGATTTTTTTTTTTTTTTTTTTTTTCGTATAATATTCCGCTTATTCTCATCGTCTTGTTTTTTCGCTTATACCGGCGAACGGCTATTATTTTTAAGAGTTTTGCCGCCGTATCGATATTGCATATTATCGTCTCCGTCGCCTGTCTCGATTTTCAACTATATACAAACACCTGTCTCCGGTTTCCGACGACTCCCAAACCTCTAAACGTAATACGTATACTGTATGTTTTAGAGACGGAATTTTTTTCCGACTCTGGCCGAAATCGAATTTGCGTTACCGAAGACAAAACGTTATCGTGACGACAACAAAATAACACGCGAGATTTCGCTTAAACATCGTGTCTTACCTCTCATATCAATATCGACATCAAATATAGCACCGCCGCCACCTCAATCCCCGTTCACACCGTCCCCTTTCCGACCTGGAATGTCAGAGGATAAGGGGTAAAAGTAAATGAGATGTGTGAGAGGTAAATGGCGGTGAAAGGGGTAGTGTTATTTGTATTAATAAGAGATAAGGTGCGATATGTAAGAGATAATAATAATTATTATTAAACTGTCGCCATCAGTAGTTAATCTAACCTACCTAAATAAACGAGTATTACTAGTATATGAATTAATATTTTTGCTAGAAAAAAATTTCAAATAGTGCACTATGTCTTTTTATAAGCATTTTAAGATTAAATTTTGACGAAAATAGAAAAATCATTTTAAGTTTTTTCCTGGTTTTTTAAAAATATTAAGTAAACTCCTTGGCAATTTGAAAAATTATATCACTTTTGACTAACCACGACATGTAAGTTAGCCAGCTATGTTACCATGTATAATAATATTTTGTGAAGTTCAAAAACTGAATAAAATCTAAATAATCTGTATTACTCTTACAAGTTCTCGGTTTCGATAGACGATACTAAGTAAAGCGTATAGCTTTATTAGATAGGTTTTCCTGAGTCATCCTATTCGGGTAAGTAATTATAAGAATGCCACAATCCGAGGCGCCACACAATTTATGCTTAACTTAACTTAATTTACCTAATGCCTTATCCACAAGCCTATCTACCTAATTTTTGAGATGGGATGTTGTTTATCATAAGATACATTTTGCAACCGTGTCTGCCAGATAAAATCTCAGCTTCAAACGTATCAAAATTTGGTGATAAAGGTTTGTAAAACAGTGCACATTCTTTAAATTTGGTCAAATATGTTTTATTTTGAGTTATGTACGTTGGAATTAGTAATTTTAAAGTGGATATTATACAATGATACTTATAAAATCGTTCGTCTAGTTCAACAATTAAATGATCTGATAATGGCAAAAAAACGGTACATTTATAATATTGTTCTGGCGTATTAACTGGTGCATTATCTATATAATGTCGTTTGATTAGAATTATTTCTTTTCATTTTTACAAAAGTTTTTGCATACTTATTCCATACACATAAAGTTACGAACGCTGAATATACACTAAGAAAGAACCGACCGAGTGTTGGGAATATTTACTAAATTAACAAATAAAATATTAGATATTATATTATTATTATCATTATTATCGTTATGATGTTATCGCATCGGCCTTTCATCAAATTTCGTTCATCTGCCATTGTTAAAATTGTAATAAAAATCTAGATAAACCCAAATGTAGCCCAAATAATATTATTTCGATGATAATGCGGATATCGCCGTATCAGTTGTATAATATAATTTTCCAAAGGCAGAAAACCACAAAAAATTAAAAATGACAATAATATCAATTTTTTTATACTTCCTATATAGTAATAAAATTAACATAAAACCAAAATTGTATTTATCTTCCTTATTGACAGAAATCACTTTTGAGACTCTATTAAAAATCTGCGCTCATCATAATTTTCATGAAATTCTCGGAGGAGGGGGGGGGGGTCGAACCCCTAAAACCCCCTCATGTACACGCGCCTGCGATAAAGATTGCTATCACATAATATGACGTCGCATTATTATTAATCAATAAAAACGGTTGTACCAGGGTTTTTTTTTAAAAAAAATTGTCTTTTATTAGTCAATTGATAATAGTATATAATAGTATAGTGCCGGCGGTACGTATGAAATGATTCGTTTCGAATTTACCGTATAAAAGTCTACTCCGTTACGTTGGGCTGTATATGCGCTATAGCGTAACTGACAGTCTGCTAAAATTTACAGACATTGTAAACAACGACCCTCAGTACAAATATATGTAATAATATTAATATTGCTCGGCCGTGAACATAATAATCAGACCCGTTGAAGCGACGGCACACATCGCACTAACCGGACCCGACAGCTAGCGGTCCGACGATTGCCGTTTTCGTTTTCCCGCGGCCTTTGATCGTATACACATTACACACACACACACATACATGTACACACGCACACACACATATATATATATCGCATACTAATACTAATACAGTATCCAAAACGAGGACGTATAGCCGCACTTCACCGCTGGCGACCGATAATCCCCCGAGACGGAGAAAAGACCCGTTCGTCATCATCATGTACTGCGCACTTAACGCCGGAAAACACCCGACCAATTATGCGCGACGAGGGTGCGGTTCGCGCGACGTTTGCACAAATACAGTCGACCGCTTTCTCTCGACACCGCGGTTTTCGGATATTTATTTACATCGTGCGTACAGCGAGTAACAATAACCTATTATTATATTCAATGGAAAATATTGACATTTTTCATAGTTTGTTGGAACGATGTAAGAATAAATAAGGAGCTATAAAATGTTACGTTGCCGTTATTTTCCTTCGTCCTTATTTTCGGCGGCTCGAAACAGTTGTTTAATTTTGGTTTTCAAATAGCAAAAACCTACATTGGAAATACCGTAAATAGACAAAGTATTGGTTTGAATACAGTTGGCTTTTTAGCAGATATGCGGAGGGTAGTGGATCATCATTTGTGTGGCAACGTAGCGTACGACGTTTGAGTAGTGCTCCACTATAGTCTCCTTTAAACAACTACAAAACGAGGAAACTTAAAAGTAAAAAATTCGTCAACGGGTCGACAGAAAATGAAAATTTCAACACTGTTAATATAGTTTGAAAATCAAAATTGGGAAGATATTTCACCGCCATAAACAGGGGTGACAAAAATGACGGGATTATACAATTTTTGAGCTCTTTGATTCTTAATTTGTTTAAGAAAACTTATTCCGAAAAAATAATCTTATACTTTTAAATACAATGGGTGTCTTGCGATATGTTCAGCACCCTGCAGGCTGTGTCGGCAATCGTAGCGTATAACAGTCGTGCGAAAGCGCGTTTCAGTCGAAACCAAAGGCGGCCTACAAAACTCATTAGCGGCGTCCGTCCCGATTGTCGACAAATAAAATGAAAAACCTCCTCGTTTAGCGACCCGTGACATATGAAATGTGCCGCACAGATTTTTATTGCCTTTTCTTTTGTTCGTCGTCCTGCACGCAGCAGTACTACGTGTTTTATGGCGATTCGACGTCAATTTCTTTGGCGTCCGAATGAAAATATACGCGAGCCCGCCACTACCCGCCGTCAACGAAATTACTGCAAAACGCACACGGCGAGGGTTGTCGAGTCCTGCCACGATATGCTCTGAGGATTTCGATCGGTGGTTTATTATTAAATCGTCTGTTTACGGCGTACACGTGGAAGGGACGATGGCATCATGGCTGCAGTGTAGTATACAGTAACAGGGTCGGTTTTATTTTGTGATCAGAAAAATCGTCAAATTCACCACCAGTTTTTAGCCGTTTAGATTCGTCTTTCTTTTGCGTCTAGAGTCAGCGATTGTGCGATATACCGTAAAGAATTATGCTGCAGTGTTTTTTTTAGCATAGAAGCCAATTATTTATTAATTATTTTTTGTGCAAAAATAATGTACCTCAATATCGATAAAAAAATTATATCTGGTTTTTAGAACGAAATAAATCCATACGCATAGAGATGAGCTTATATCGACCTTATAGAATGTCTAATCTCTTTAAAAATGTCTAGTTTAATTCCTCTAAATGTACCTAAACTAAAATTTGGTAAATATTATTTCAAATTTCGTTTACATTAAGTTTCAAATATATTTTATTTGTACAATTTTATCTAATTTGATTATTGTGACTAGTCAATGTATAGTAACTGTAGTTCATTTTATACTTGAGTGCATGTCATGTATACTGCAGTATGATATCAATAATATTAAATATTATAAATAGAAATGTATGATTATTTATTTCTTTTTAACTACACATTTTCCACCGGAAAACGATTCGTAATTAAATTATTATATTTGGCTAGACTTTCTGGTATTTATTTCCGGAACTATGTAAGAATGCATGTCAGTTAACCGAGTGTATATTTTCTGTTAGCGTAATTATTATTAAATTGGATAAAATAATAATTCTTTACTTCCCGTTTGTAAACTTTATAGACTTTTTATGCTAGAAATTCAAACCTGAACAAATTAAATATCCTGACATTTTGACCACAACTGTTACAGAAACTGAAAAATAAAGTTTAATAATTTATTAAAAACGTGCATGGCCTCATAAAACTCTTAATTTAAAGAAAACAATCTTTGTACGATGTTTATTTTATAAAGAAATAGCTACTTGTCTTTATAATCTGCCCTTTGAAAAGCTGAAATCTAACGAGAAACATTGTTTGTTCAAATTACTTCACGATACGAGTATACCTTCTTAGGTGCTCAAGTTTACTGTCGCTTTTTGTGATATCAGTTAGTACCGGAAGTCTACTAAATGTTTGTTTCGAAAACTACCTTTATAACGTTTGATTCATTAAATCACCTGGGATTCCAAGACCGATTCCAGAGTTCCGCCCTGATGACGTTGTGAGAAATCAGGGGAGTCAAATAATAACTAATAGACTTCTTAAGACACCAATTTGTGTTTCTATTCACACTCTGCAAAAGACATCCAATTGGACCGTTATATCCGTGGAATAATGAAACGCACATTTATTGCCGATCACATTTTATTAATTTTATTTACATACTACTCGTATTAATATTTTGAAATGTGCTTTATCAAAAATAATAAAAACATTGCTAAACTTAATACTGTACTGAGCAAAGTTCGTCTAAACATATTTTGAAACTCTGTGATTTTTACGATTTTTATTAAAATTTCCACTTTAAAGTTAAAATTCTTAGAAAAATAAATAGATATTAAATATCGTGTTCCACTCTCTTTTTGCCATCAAATATACCCTATGATAAACCTTGTGATAATTTTTTTGCATTTCTGCTTGACCAAAACAATTTTACCCCGGCTAGAAAAGCCTCATACGAGTATTTTGTGAAAACATCTGATATTTACGTTTATTTTTAACTGAATTATAATTAAAAAACAAAATCGAAAATAATAAAAAAAAATAGTTATTGCTGTAAATTTCCCTGATTTTCCTCAAATATTAAGAAAACTACAGAAAATATAACCTTTTTAGCACATAAAAAAAATACAATTTTCTTTCAGAAACGAAGTTACACTTGAAAATCGGATTAAGATTTCTGATAGAAAAAATTGTCTATAAACAGGAAAAAAAAAGTACATTATATGGAAACCAATATATTCTTTTTTTTATTTAGAATTTAAAATAATTTCCTCTGATTTTAGTTGGATATTTCTTTATTTTTTAATTTAAGGTACTGTTTTCATTGTCGATGTATGTGATTTACTGTATTTTACTCTTAAATTTCCTCTTAAAATTCGACCAGTCTAGTACTGCTGCTTGTGTTAGCTACTGTAGAAAATCGTTGAAAACAAAAAATGTAATCCACATAATTGAAGAAACGACGAAAGGAATGAAGTCGGTGTTTAAGATGGGGACGGTTTTAAGAACACCGTGAAATGTAAGTGCTTTTAAGCTTTTATTATTATTGTTTTCGTTTTTTTTTTTTTTTTTTTAAATCATACTTAAATTCTATACATTCGTTTGATCCCCCCCTCTTCATCATCTAAAGCAAATTCGGACCAATAAAAGTGCCGTTCTTCTCGAATTAGTTTTTGTAATTATTTTTGGCAATATATTTACGAGTAATTTACACCGAGTGATTTAACACAAAATATAAACGACGAAAAAAAAATCCATTTATTTCAAGTAACAATAACTGCAACACAATTGACGCGACGACGTTTTTTAAAGCTTAAAAATATTAATGTCCGCTTCGTCCGCTTACGGACGCATTATCCGTATTTATAATAATGACATTATACTGACAGAATAATATATTAATGCGCATTTCAATACGCACTTACATCTGCATATCACGTAGACCATCTGTGCGTAAACAAAGATATTAAATATTTACCGAATGACATTGTGATAGAATAATAATATTATTATGTAGTGCAGGCCGCCAAAACGCCGGTGTTCGACGCCATATGACGTGCGGTGTGTCGATTAAACGCGATTAAAACATACTAACCTAATATTATCCCTATCAGTTATCATCGTTGTTGTTTTTTTGTCGTATAATAATATTGTGGTATAGTATTATTATCTCGACAAAACAACAACAACGATGATAACTGATAAGGATAATATTGAGTTAGTAGGTTTTAATCGCGTTAACCTATCTTAATTCATCAAAATAATCGTATCAGTAGGTCGCCGTCACCCACCCCGGATTATAGATAGAAATATTTATGTGATATAAATAATACTTAATTATTATGGGCGATGCGCGAGAAACACTCTGTACAATAAGAACAGTACGACGCGTCATCCAGCCGAGGCGGTCGAAAGGTTTTCGAACCGACATAGCGGATAATTACCATTATAATATAGTTATTAATTATAATTGATAGAATATTAGTGACGATTTACAATTTAATAATATGCGATCGATTTTGAACCGCCGACGATTACGTCCAAATGTTTTCCCGGTTGAATTAATGAGCACGTCCATATATATATACCTACTGTTATAATACCTAACTGGTACCCCCACGACGGCGGCGACGTCGAGAATATAGCGCGACCGTCTTCAATTTATCAAGACAGTATAATTTAATGGAAATCCTCGCGGATCCGGGACCGGCATACGTGAGAGCAATTTAAACCCGTCCAATTAGAATATAACACCGCGTCTGGACGCCCGTGGCGTAGGTATACCGTATTCGTATGCGCTACATTGTGCACAAGGTGAATTTTTTTTTTTATCACCCGATATTATTGTCAACAGAAATTTCAAGTAAATTTGACTTTTGTTAATTTTTAAGGATTTTATTAAAAATACGCCCTATAGCATGCTAAAAATCAATTTCCAATTTATATATAACGAGTCGTTGTACTCCTTTAAGAGAATTGGCATGAATAACTAAATTGTGTTTCTTTGTAAACAAAGTTATATAACTTTATCAGTCTACATTATTATTACATTTCATTATGCAACAAGGAAATGACATTAAAAGTCAGTTATGCGTAATTTAATGCAATTTTTATTTACAGTTTTAACTTATTAATTTTACGAGCACAGTCACGTTTGCATTTAACATTTTATAAAATAACAAAAAGTAATCTCAGGTTTCTTGTTATGTACCTGATTGTAAATACCTTAACAATCTAGAATAAACTAAATTAAACTAATCTAAACTAAAAGGAACGACGGTGTTCTTTAAATCTCCCCATTCCCCACCTCCACCAGGAGACGATTCGCTGTGGTAATCCTTAGCTGAAATAATTATATTTAGTGTTTATATATTGAGTTTGACGTTTACTCCAAAAAATTATATTGTCCTCTTCAATCTTCAATTCATCTAATTTTTTTCTGTTTAACCAGTTTCCATTTTCAATTTGTATTTTTTCACCATAAATCGTCTACAAATTCGCAATTTTATTTTTATTTTTTTTTTACCTTATGAGGTGCATTGGTTTTGAAGTAGTGAATTATCTTTGAATTAAACAGATTTGTTTACAATATGTTAAAAATGATTTAAATTTGATAGATTATGATATGAGCGAGAACCATAATGCAGATAGATTCTCTTTATTACCTAACGGTCCGGTTTTTCCTCCATCGCACCTTAATAGATTATAATTTACTTTTTCGTAATTTAACTTATTATTTTCTATAAGTATATCAAAAATATAAAATCGATATTTTCTTCTTGCAATTTATTCACTTTATTTTTCAATATACTACACTCTGCAGTATATAAATTAAAAACCAACATACTAATAATAATTGTCTATATTTATCTTATATAGGTTAACTAGTGATATAATAGTGCTGTTGGGATAAATCAGTATAAGGAAATACATTTATCGGCGTACCCATATTAGTCCTTCCGATCTTATTAAATTAATGTTTCTATTAATGTACCTAGTCTATAACGAGTGCATTAAACGTAAGTGTTTGATTTACATAGTATAATAATATATCCGTCTACTCGTATATTATTATATCGCATAAATACCCACCTACGTTATTTGTACAATTCAAATTAATCACTCTAATTAACTATATTATTTCGCCAAACTGCATTAATATATTATGTACTCGTATATTAATTGTTTAAATTTAATTAAATTATTCAAAATCACAGCAAGTTGTATAAATAACATAATAGTTTAAGCATTTTTGAAATAATCGCGTGTTTTCGGTTGCTCTTATACAAACAAAAATAATATAGTACATAGCGTTTAATTTGTTTACAGTATCATTAATTCACGATACTTATGTATATATTATACATTTATATTTGTGTTTAAATTCTAATTTCACCCTAAACGCCACAATTCACGTTCTCTGCGTAACGTACAATAATTGTGTGGCAATGATAAAATAAATCAATCTGTGCATCATTTATCATTGTTTATTAGCTATAAGGTATGGGCATATTTTATGCAATAGGCGAAGCTAAGGGATAATTTTAATTAATCGTGATGAATGTACAACACTGTATGTATATTTTAAGTGGCCATTTCATTAGGTTTCTGCTGTCTTGTAGTGTTTTTCAAATACGTTTTTAGCCTCTTAAGTGTAGAAAATGATCTATATGATGATAATTGTTATCACTTATTAATATAACATAATGTTTCAAATCGGTATGAAAATCATTCAACAATGTACTACGTAAAATTCGTAAAAAAAAACTAACAAATATATTTCGGAGGGGAGAGGTCATTAACCCCCAAACCCTCCCTTCCTCCCAAGTTTTTGAAATTTTAGATTCCGAGAGTAGGCCCGCGAACCGTGTAACGTCCGTCAGAGGACTCGGCGGAACCCGAAACAAACTCGATTAACGATCATTCTGCGTTACGTCAAATTCCCCTTTATGTCCTATCTTCTCAAACTTCTCATCGACAACAGTGGCCAACCATCTTGTGAAGTATTTCCGTTTTTCGGATTCCGAGCGTTGCGAGGGAGCTGTTGGTTTTATTAAAATGTTTATTTTTTTCTTTTTTTTAGTCTGTGGACACATTTTTTCTTAGTAAACTTGTTCCGATGTATACGTGTTATAAGAACTTTTTCTGAAAGTTCAAGTCCTCTAAATTGTACCTTAAAGAGGTCACTTTTTGATTTTTGACTGCTTTTTTTTTTAAATAAAAGCACTTAAGCGGGAAGATAGTAGGAAAACGTATAATTTCAAGGTTTCATTATTTTATAAAAACACGGACAACGTTTTCTATTAAAAAAAAAAAAAATAATAAATTAGTCGAAAAATCACAAGACACATTTTAATTACCGGTCGTCCGGTCGATATTCATTCGACAGTATATTACGTATGGAACATAATATTAATATGTTTTCGACGAACATTGTCGATAAATATATTATGTTAAGAAAGGATTGGAAACGAAATCTACACTACTATAGAAATACAAGCGAATTCGATTGAATCGGCCAGTGGGTATATGGGTTTCGTGTTAATTTAGAAACGAAATAATTTCATCCAATCGACCTCGCCCGACCATAAACCCCGAGCCAGCGGCGAGCCCACTCGTTTCGTGTAAATGTCAACCTTGTTTATAGATTGTGCACGTCACACACAACGCGCGCGCTGCGTCGTGTATTTTCACCGAAAAGGCCAAAATCCTATCGGCAAAATATTAAGAACGCAAAAGAAAAAAAAAACTAAAACAAAGCTTTCCTCCTTATGGAAATTACCGCCTCCAAACACGCTAATATTCGTCAAACACGAAACGTAAATTAATGACGTCTAGTAATAAACACACGGAGGAGAATCTAGCAATTACTGCCCTCGTATTTTGTACAAGAGTTTGCAGTACCTGTGTGGTACCTAAACGATTAAATCACTTAAAAAAAGATTAAAGTTTTTAAATACTATTTCGTTTTGTTTTTTTTTTTAAAAAAAATATTTATTTTAATTAATGTTTTGAATTTTGATCGAAACGAGGATTGTATTGGGTTTTTATTCCTAAGAAAACGCCTTTACGGTTAGTAAGAATGCTCCGATTTCTTCATACGATACTTTATAGATGCAATATTTCCACCCGGTGATTCTTTAATTGAATCGTTTTTACTACTCGATAAGAATTTCAATCCTAAAATATTAACTAGGGATATTTCTTTTTTCAAAGCAAAAAATAAAAACCTTGTCGAAGCAAAAATGTTTTTGTTAATTATTCAACATTTTGACGGTATTAGCTGAAACCAAGAACAGATCTGGGAGAGGGGGAGCTTCTACAAAGATCCATCAAAATGTTTTAAAAACAAAATATGTTTACCCAAGTTAATTGAAAAAAATATTAGACATTTTAGGGGATTATTTTCTAAATTAGTGGTCCGAATATTCAGTAGTCAATTCCGGCTTGTGTGTTTTTGTTTGTTTGCGTGCTGTATCGACCAGGGAATAAGTTAGGTTTGTATTGTAAGTATTACTGTATTAAAATACAACCGACACAAGGATTGTGCAATATTTTGAGTTTGAATTTCACATACGATTTCCGATTAAAAGAAAAAAGAAAATAATAATACTAATAAAAATAAATTGAATAACGGTTTATATTTTTTCGCTCTACTTGTGTAATGTCGTAATTTATTATCATAAATATTCAATTTCTTTCCGACCACCCGAACGCGTGGCAACATAAATATTCTTTATAGGTTACTTATGTATACATAGTATGAGATTCAATATTACATGAGCGTTCGATATTTCATCGTAATTATTGTTGAAAACGTTGTAATCGAAAAAGCTCGAAATACGTGGGCGCACGTGACCTTATCAATATTGTGAACGATTCTTCGGCGCATATTAATTTGTTTTTTTATCATTATTGTTATTGTTATTGACGTTATTAAGGGATATTCGTATGGGAGCCGGAAACGTTTATTTGACCGAAGTATAATACATGTATACGATATTCGCGAACCCAAATGGCTAACTTAATAATATTCCAAATAATGAAGTTATTTTGGTTTTGTTTAAAATATTCAACGCGGGTGAACCGCAATATGCCATTCTGTTTATCGTGTACGGTACGTTGTATATGCAACAACAAATCATTAAATTATTTCGTATACGTTTGATTACCCGTTTAACACGCTATCTATGATATAGTTTAATAGTATAACATAATTTCTTGGTCGGTATTAGTACGTTTTTTTTTTCCAATGATCAATACAAAAACAATTGTATACTCGTGCGAAAACATTGAATGTCTTGCCATTATTCTTGTTGGTTTGTGAGTCGCATATTTCGTTTTAGATTCTGAAATTTCGTTTTAAGTTCAATTTTTAACGAAAATCGTGAATGTCTTGACATTTTTACGTTACAAGTTGAACTTAGTGGTAAACTCAAAAAAAAAAAAAAAAAGCTGAATGTAATTTAATAATTTTTGGAAAGCATTTGCAAAAATACTATAATTTTGTTCACAATAATATAATTCATACCGACCGAACTTAACTCAGGATCGTTTTTCGTTAGTAATGATTCATCGATGCCACCGTTATAAATTAAATGCATTATATGTCCTACCTTCTAGACTTTCCACCCACGACAGTGACACACCCTTCAGCAATTTTGGCTTTTTTTTTTTTGGTTTTACTACTACTTCAATTTAAAATACTAGAAAAGGTACAGAATTATTTCTTAGAACAATAAGTATAAAATTTACATACTCGAAAATTAAGAAAAAAATACCTTTTCAAAAATGTAATTATTTATTGAAAAAATTGAGTACAATACGATGATTTAACTCAAATTTATACAAATTTACTTACATGCATTTGTTATTGTAATTATAATTTTATTTTTCAATTAGAAATATCATGTTATAGGCATGCCTTGTACGCGATTCTGAAATTGTTGACCGTATCATTGTAATATTATTTGAATACGTTTTTTATAAAACAAAGTCAATTAAATAACACAAATGGTCGTTCAAAAACTAAATTTTTTGGTGACACGTTTGATATCAGTGTTAACGAATAAATTTTTATACACACATCTTTGCATTAAATAATTTTTTTTTGCTTTTCTTTTAAACATTTTACATCGACTTATGTTATAAAACGGACACTTCCCGATTTATTATTTACTGACTATAATATGGTTACAGTGTATTTTATTTATTACCAAATCGACTGATGGCTATATACATGTGAAATATTAGGTTTTCGAAAAGTTCAAAAGAAACGTATTACACGACAAATGTGTTATTATTTATACATTTATTTTATCATCCGTATGCAACGATTCATATTTTGATGTTTATACATTTGTATCGTTTTTCACAAAGTGTAATATTTTATTATTGATGGGATTGGTGACTGTGTACATTTTAGTCGATTTCGATCCAAAAGCCAAACAGAACTCTAGAAATTGTGTCTGTCGGATTTAAATTTTAAAAACGGATTACGGTTCTTTGTGTTATTTACCAGGATATTTTGGAAATATAAATTTAATTATTTTACTGGAAATCTTCAACAAATTTGAATATTTTTGAAAAGTGTTTAAAAATGTGCTTATCGTGTTTTATTTATGAAAAAAAACAAAATAAATAATAATTTCAACATATCATACTATAATAAAGAACCTAAAGAATACGTGTTGAAAGTTTAAATCCGTTAAACGCAATTCCTATACAATTTTGTTCGGCTTTTTCGTTTAAAACGTCGTATTTGTTCGTGAAATCCTAACGTAGCCATCAAATAAGAATCGGGGAGTGGGATATTTTTGAGGGCTGTACTTATTTTGTTTTTTCTAAAAAGTTGTCACACAAATAATTATTGCCATTAAAAAAAAACAAAAACAAACACCACTTTAATATTATATTTTGATATGTTTTATGTATCAATATATTAGATTGTTTGTAATTAGATCAAAATTGTATTTTAAACATTGCCTACTCAGATATTATAAAATTGAATTAAAATAAATGTGTAATTAAGTACCTATGATATTTTTCACTATAAATTAATAACTTTACATTTACCTAATAATTATTTTCTCTAAATTGCATTTTATATAGTGTATTCGATGGAAATATTAAATAAAATAAAATAATTACATGACTGGAATTAAGACGTTGATTTTATTTAACGCTCAACGGCTCAAAATAATTTATGTAGAACTTAAAATTAAAGAATATTTAAGTTCGAAGTATATCCTATATAAAAATGTTATTATTGCCATTTTTTATTATACAAATATGTTTGGTGAAGGGGAAAAAAAGTCAGAATTCAGTGTAAAACTTATGTTTTCACATAAATAATAAAACCGACAACGTAAAAATAAATAGATAAATAGTTTTTTCCAGCCTTTTTCATTTTGATATTATAAATATGTCTAGAAGCAAAACAAAAAAATGGAACCTACCTACTCGTAAATATCACTACCTACACATTTTATCCCATATTATAGCCACTCTATCCATAACTTTCATTTTACAATTTGTAGCTTGTAAAACACTTTAAATAAAGTATACGAGCCACTACAACGCATAACTTCTTCAACAAGCGGCATAAAAATATACGAAATTAATTCAATGACAACACGTGTATACACTTTAGAAACTTATATCCACGTGTTTTGACTAAAAATGACTCATTTCAATAACGCGCAGTTTAAATTTAACGTGTACAGTACTGAAATTGTTTTTGGCATACGGGCACGTGGCAAAATACGAAAGAACAATGTCAAATTTGTTGAAAATTAAAATATAATATATATAGCGGTAACTATAAAGTACGCAACATTTTTTTTTTTTCAACTTATGTAAAGTCACTTTTTTTCGTATTACAGATTAGCTAATTCTTATACAACCAAAAGTTTGTATATCCACCGAAAAAAAAATACTATCGTAGAAAATCTCATTTTAGATTCTGAGCGAAGTTTGGAAAGTACGTACAAAACTCAGAATCGCTTTTTGTCAATAATGCATCATCGTTGCGTAATGCGTATTGACATAAGTAGAGTGACTACATAACAATTATATGACACATCCTATATCCTATATCCTATATGTCACACCCATCTGCAGTATCAGCCTTTGTATTTTTAAATATGCGAGTAATACGTAAATGCATATTGTTATTTAATCCGACAGATGAAATATTAGTTTTGATTTATAATACGTCATAATCTCACAAACAACTAAGGTACACACGGCATTTCCATTGAATAGAATAAGGACAAAACCTTAATGTAAAACATCAACACGCGTCAAACAAACAAAAAAAAAAAAAAAAAAACCATGACCATTTTCTTGTGGGAAATTATTATACGCTATATTTATACGAGTAGTTAATAGCAGTGGTAGTATATGAGTCACATTAATGACTCAACTACTCGTAAATTTTAGATTCCCGGATAAAGTAATTACTTTTTCTGAAAATTATTTTTATTCTAATGAATGTACATTGCGCCTGTACCTGTAGTTTTATATTTGTTATTACTCAACGTGGACAATTTGATTCATTAAAAACTAAAATTTTAACGGAACGTTTAAAATAGGTATCATATTTGTGATTAGTTATTATGAAATCTAAATAAATTTAACTACATATAATACGAATAGATGATAGATATAAACCTAAGTCTAAAGCTCGGAAGTAAGTTATTGCATAGAAAAATCATTAAAATTGATTCCATTAATAGTAAAAAATATAGTAGAATATAGTAAAAAATATCCGAAATTGTACATAAAAATGTCATTATTGCTATAAAAATATATAAAATTGCAATAAATTATTTTACTTACCAAACGAATATAAAAATACTCCACGTTTGGGGGAATATTAACTCGTGCATCGTCTTATCAAATAATAGTTCCACTACTGTCATCAAGCCCACAAAGCCAAAAATAACCATCAATTATTATATTATTATTCTGACAAGGCCCCTGGTGTTATTTTATTTTTAACGTAAAAAAAATTAAATCAAATGAATGATATTTAAAAGTATCATAAATAATGAAAATCAAATAATTGACAACAATTGCAAAAAATTGCACCAAAAATGTTTAGATTTTAATTCATACTTGCATGGAACGAATTTAAAACTTACTTAGCAATAAATCCGAATAGAAAAAAAGTTGCAAATGCAATAACTTTCGAGCCCTACGGTTACGTCCTATACCTATGTGACCTATTTTTTTTTTTATCCATTACGTTCATTGTAGTTAAATCTAAATACATTACATTCGTGAACATTCAGTAATGCTACATAGATGCCTGTATTAATAATTTGATCTAACGAGTTTATTTGATTTTACGATTTTAAAACGTTTTTAAATTGATACCAAACGCGTTTGTCATTTAACGATAACTGAAATTACCTTATTAATGCTGTTGTACGGTCAAAAGATCCGTATAAGAAAACCTAAGAAAAAAAAAGTCACCGCTTAAAAGATCGCCATCTCGATGGGAAGATTGTGTTAGGACGAATTCAATGACTTCTCAGTATTGGAACGTGTAGGAATTCAGTGTGCCAGAATATCAAAATAGACGGAGGAGGATATGTTTGGCAGGATGGTCTTAACGGCTTTACAAACATATATATATTACCATTTGATTAAAATCAATAAATCGCACCGATTTGTATCAAATGTTATTATTATAACATAAAATAATCGAGATATACGCCATTATATTATTGTTTATAACGATCATCACTCAACTGTATAATTGCACGGAAAAATGTTGAAAACTTAAAAGCTGCCGGGCTGTTTATTTTGATTACGAACAGCTGTAATATAATAAAATAATAATAATAATAACAATAATGAAACTTATACTTATACTTATACTTATGCGTTCGCTGTGAAAAGGAGTTATTTAATTTTCGTGCCCGTACAACTGGTTATATATGTATATATATATATATATATATATATATATTATGGTTTTGATTAAATAAAACCAGCTTATATTATTATTAATTACCAACTAAACAAAATTTAATTAAAATGTTTAATCAGTTACTGTGTAACGAGACCCTCGTGTTGTTGTGTTGCTGATGCGCTAAATCTGTGTAAGTATACCTTTTATTGGGCTTTTATTGGGTAGGTGTGCTTATTGCTACTTATAAGATGCAATGTAATATCGTAATAATTATAAAACGTAATCAAATTATAATACGGTATCTTTTTTTTAGTTTTTGAACGTGGCGAGGAATATATTGGTTTTACTATGATGTGTATTTTTTTTTGTGTTAAAAACTTTTCTACCAGAAATGTTGCTTAATTTCGGATCATCTTGATCATTTCTTGGTTTTCCAAACAGTTTTTCGTAATCAATAGGAAAAATCGTACGAAAAATTGACAAATTTACGGCATAAAAGTTTTGATTATTTTCGATTTTATATTTTTGTTATTTTTTGTTTTTTGTTATTCTGTTAATAATAATCGTAAAGAATTGCAATTTTCAAAAAATACCTGTATTATTCTTCTCTATACGTGGTAAAATGTTCAAAACGTTCGATTTTCGAGCTATTTATTGGTATTAAACATTTTATAGTTTTTTAAATTTTTATTTAGTAGATACTTTATGGATAACATTTATTAGCCAGACAGAAAATTAAGCATGATGTTCATTATAATTTATAAGTTTTAAGAAATATATATTTATATGAGCGTAGCCTATATTCTGAACTTTTATATTCAGATAGAGTATTTTTAATTAATATTAAAATTAGAAAACTGCCTATGTGCGAGATAAAAAGGATACGATTACCTATTATTATTATTATAATAGTATATTGTAGCTTTATTATTTCTATAGCTTTTTTTTATCAACCTATGGACATTGTACGCATAGGGGAAAAACGGTCTTCCGTTTGTGTTATCGTGCGTGTAATGGGGGTATATAATACGACGATCCGAGGATTAAAGGATTTGATGTTGAGAGGAGATAATACATAATAATATAAAAGTAATAGGAAGAAATGACATAGAAAGTCGGCAACTATCAGTTGAAAACGACTGTATATTATTATTATACCGACGTAATATGTGTTTTACTGTAGTATAGGAACATTGTCTCGGACAAAATAATATTTATCCGATTTTGGTGACAATAAAAAACTACTGTTGCATGTGCGCATGGTGTATGCTATTGTTTTAGGAGGAAATTTGGAAGGGAAGCTGTATAGAGTAATCTAATTTATATCTGTACACGACGATTGAGCGTTACTAAAGAAAAACAATTCTGAACAATTTTTTCCTTGTAATCCAGAAATCAACAAAAATCATGTAAAAAACTACCAGTAATTCACATTTATTAGAACAAATTCAAAGCTAATCAAAATATGACTTTCTCAATGTACTAACTTGACCGAAAATTCTACAAGAATGTTCCTATACAATTTTTTTCTCGTTCCGTTCAAAATCAAAAAAAATAAGTAATCATTATATTATAAATTTTATAGTAAAACCGAAATCGGAAACAAAAATACGTCAATGAGACATACGATTAAGGAGATTGCCGTCGGTTTTCAGAATTTTCTCTAATCGTGTTAAATTTGAAATATTTTTAAAAAAACATGAAAACATTTTTATAAACATCGCTTTTAAAAAACTCTTTTTCGTTTGTCCAATACCTATTTAAGGTGAAGGGATATGGGGAAATTATACGGAAAACTTTACTTGACGTTTTACACCAAAAAGCCAAACAAAAATGCAAAGTTTGGGTTCACCGGATTTTAATTTTGAAAACGAACTTTGATTAAATAATAATTTTACTTGCGGGTTATTGCAAAGGAGTTTTGAAACATCTATATTTTATTTCAGCAGAGATATCTATGTACAATATTACGATATTTATTGTAGCACACACGATTTTCGAAACATTTAAAGTCGCCTCCGTCAAAACCTAGTGAATTATTCCAACTATTACGTTTTCGAAATTAAAATCCGTCAAACCCGTACCCCACGGTTTTGTCTATATAGCTTCCCGGACTCGATGCCACGCTTTTTTCCCGGACTGCAATCCCTTTTATTATAAACGAAATATATTAAATTGCATTGTGTGCCCCAGACAATTTTTCGTCCGGCCGGAAATAATTTTTCATTATTTCACCAACGAAATTGAGTTCCCGAGCGCATCGAACGGTTCAAAGCCCGTGAAATTTTCAAAGGTTTCAACGAGCGCGCGCGCGCGCGCGCTCCTATATCACTCGACGGCATCAGCAATAATATTATTAATAATGCATCGCGTACAAAGCGACATTTGCGGGGAACTTTTTTTTTTTTTGTCCTTGTCGTAGGGAAAGGGGGCAGATGTTTTTCACCAACAATGGCGACGAATGGGCACGTGCAAAAGCGCACTATATTATACTACACGCCGCGTATATTGTATTTCGTTTTTAGCTTTTCGTCCACGATCATTTCTGTAGGCCTTTTAAAAGGCACGCGGGGCGTACAAACACTGCACATCATAATATTATACGGTACACGTAATAATAATATATACGAACTATTATTATTATTATTATTATTATCCGGACATTAGCATGACAATGGACGGGAACGCGCGCTCGTCGTCTCCCCCGTCGTATACGCTGCGTACGTATATATAGCTGCCGTATGTGATGAGAGAGTGTTTGTAAAAAAAAAACCGTATAGTGACGATTTGGTAGTTTGTATTTTTTTTTATTTAGTTTTTTACCCAACGCACACGTGACCTGTGCAGTAATAATATAGGTACATCTGCTGCTCCGGTCCTTTGTGACGCGCGCGCGCTCGCGATCGTTTTTCAGTTCAATAATTATTGGGGTGCTCCACAGGGACCGTTCGTATCGTTCGCTCGCGGATTATTTATAATACAATACTGCAGATTTGCAAATGAAAAAATACAAAACCTAACGTCTATTCTATAAATACGCACTATAGATATAGGTGCCTGCTTAATGTTACTTCACGTCACGCCACCGTTTTCGGTCCAAAAACTTTTTTTTAATGTCCCCTCCCCCATAAATGGCCATAATAATAATAGCGTCCGATTATCACCACTCCGGATCCGATCGGACGTTCACGAGTGCGCATTCAACTGCGCGATTTCGGCTAAATCGCAATATAATATCTGCGTGAATGATGCGCGTATTATAAGAACGATAATAATAATAATAACGATATCGTTATACATGAATATCATGGAACAAACAACGCACGTAATAGGATCGGTGTGGCACGAGCGCGGGTGTACTCGACGATGATAATCCCGAAGCGAGAGCGCCCGTTTAATAATAATTCTACTATAGGCCGCACGCGGATCTATTTTCGCGGTCTATATGAAACAGATAAAAAAAAAAAAAGGTTTCTTACAAAAGAATAATATTACAATATTTTGTCCTTATTGTGTTGCGAAAACCGTAAAAATATTCGTACAATAAAATATTTATGATATTCCAAAATTAAGTGTACGCAGTCGTGATCTCTCGGCCGACACAGGGTCATATTTATACGTTTGGCGCTCCAGGGCACTTATAAAATACCACCCCATAAGGGAAGGGGGGGTGATAGGGGGTCCAGCGTTGACCGAAATACGGATTATACAAATATTGAAAACCTTATTCGTTTTTCACGTAAATAATTGTTTATCATAATGGTACATACATGTATGTAAAAATAGATTTGAGAGAATACCCTAAAACTAAATCTGGGATAAATTAAATTATAATATATAAGTAATAAAAAAGTATACAATTATAAATGGATAAACACATTAAGAAAATATATAAACATTTATCGTCTACAAAGTTCCACGGGGGGAACAATTTCTCACCCTAGACTCCCCGAAATACGGGATTGCTCCGTTACGTGACATTTTGTATAGGTGTACAGTATTATTTAAATTAAATTTTGTACAGATCGGTCGGTATAACGTAATACGCTCATTATCTCGGAATGTATTGAAATCGTTGAAAATTTGTTTTTTTTAGAAAATTTAAGAAACGAGTGGCTCTAGAATTTTACATTCCTGTTTTTTTTTTTTTTACTCTTGTTTTGGGTGGGTGGGGGTGAAGTGAAACCACTATTCACGTTTGATTTTCAAACAGCAATAGTACACTTAATATTCCGTAAATTAATAAGGTTTGAGTTTGAATAAATTTAGAAATTTTTGATTTTCAACATTCGAGGGAAACTCTTTGAACACGATTTGTGTGGCAGCGCGGTACGGTCGTTCGAAAAGTGAGCCCCAGTTATCTCCCATTACGAAAATTAAAAATTTCAATAGCAACACGTATTTTAATTAAAAACTACATCTGTTTATAGATTCTGTCAATATATTTGTAAATCAAAAACTAGTAGCGTTTTATCTCCATTAATGTGCCTATAATCGTTACGCCCATCATCCCGTTCGATATCACTTTCATATTTTTTTCTCACCCGTCGTATAACATTTTTAAATTTGTATTATTATTATTCATTTTTTTTAATGTGTAAAGTTTACGTTGAAAAAAAAAATCAGCCCTATACGAAAAAAAAAACAAATAACGACAATAAAAAGTTCCCGGTAAATTATTTAAAAATAATTTCATTATATACGCCGCCGTAGCGCGACAATTATTCAAGAGTACTTTAAAAGGTCCCGGGTCGGTCACTAGGTATTTTATATATTATATAATTCGGAAATATATTAAAATATTTACACGATGTTTATGGGTACACGCGAAAAAAATAATAATTGTATAATAAATGCGCGATAAAAGACCTTTAAACCTTTTTACTCCGAGTATTCACTGTTCCGATTCCCATTCGACAGTATTTTTTTTTTTTTATATAATCAAATAACATTACAAACGTTCAATATAGGACATAACATGTATATAACATTGTATATAGGATCGAATTCTATATAATTTAAATAAAAATTTAATTTATCTACGGTTATTGAACGAATTCAAAACTAAACCGTAAATACGTTATAAGTTTAGCAAGACCCGGTTTGAATTTCAAAGTCTTTGTGGAGTGAAAAATTAGCAATGATAATTAAATGTGTATAGTTGCAGATGCCCAGTCGATGTACGCGAAATGTCACCCCTTCCCCCCACCATCACTCTCAAATTCTAAATATTAGTACATTTCGCTATGTTTATTATTGCAAATTGCCCATTTTCTTATAAAAAACCGATTAATTTTTTTCATGTGGTGGAAGGAGTGATTTCACGCCCCTTTTGGCCGATTTACGTCAGAATTAATCGCTAATCGATTTAGGTGTACAGGGTCAATTTAACGTGTACACGACCTGTCGTTATGATACAGTAGTTAAGTTAAGGTTACGTTAAGGTACAATATCGTGAGTTTTGTACGCAAGCTTAACCAAATTCGTTTTGACCTATTAAAATCAAAAAAAAAAAAAAAAAACAATCTGTTTAAAATGAAGTGTTTTATAAAAATAATCGAAAACATGTTTTAACAGATCATTGAAAATGCGCATAATGCAAACAAATTTTTATTGCACAACAAATTGTAGGGTAAAATTTCGAACCTGGTGTGTAATACTATTTTAAATTAAAACTTTTTTACGCAGTTGCATAATTATAAGCTGCGTAGATCTATATGTGTTCTGGACATTTGTTTAGTGAATATCCATTACGTGTCGACTCCTCCGCCATTAAACAACGCATTACGGACAGGTAGATCCAACCTTACCATTAACTTTTGGACTTCACTCAGTTCCCCCACCCGCTGCTAATGAAAATATTTCCCATATAAATTAAAATCATTTGTTACAAAATCTGTTAATTCGATCATTCGGTATTTATTTTACATAGCGCAGGACACGCATCTCAGCACAATAAGCGAAATCATTCTGCTACAGGACGCTCTAATAACAGACTGACTATTATTATTTATTGTGTGACCGTTCGGACACAGAAAATCTCCTAAAAAAAAAAAAGCCCCGGACGTTGAAGTTTTAGAGGTTTTTTATTCTTCAAGTTTTTACAATCACTAAATCCCACGACCGTTACATAATTCGCACGGTGCATGTTCCATGTTCATAATATTATAGTAGTACTATATTATATCCTACCGGATTAACAGTCGACCGCGGCGTCCCGTGTATTCAGTGACGTTCAAATTGTTTGCTGGTCGAACGATGCGCGTTTCGGTAATGTATTTTATTGCGGGCGTCTGTATTACGAGTATATATATATATATATATATTTACGTCGCATGAAAAAATAAAAACAATAGAAACGAGAAGCATAAAAAACACAACTCCGGCGCGCAGTGAAAAATCGGACCGTTCTGCGGATTAAGAAAAACCGTAGACGGTGAAAAATAAAAAGCGAAAAAAAAAAAAAAAGGTCGCGAAACGTTTACGTGCGAGCGCTTATCGTGTCCACCGCGTTGGCCGTCCGAAAAATAATCTCGCAGCCCACGCGTTTCTTTCCGATCCGTCGACGGCCCATAGTAGAAATATAATAACATTACACTTGCGAAGAGGAGAACTTGAGAGATATTTTATTTTTCGAATAGTATAAAACAGTACCCAACTCGCCCCGCTCCGCAAGCCGGGTCGGGCAATATTGCAGAGATACATGTTACACATGTCGAAGTTACAATAATGTATATTTTACTTTTTTTTAGTTTGCGCGTGATGTATCGTGTGTGTTTGAGAGAAATTTTATTACGGTACAGACGGTATATCATGTATATCTTTTTGTATGAAAATATACGAGATATACTTAAACTTCGTTTAAAATAATTTAAAATATAAGCGAATTAAATTGACTAAAACCCAAAAGGAAAATGATTGGTTTTTGCCGAAATCTATGGTATTTATAAAATTAATCAATGACGTTCAACACGAAACGTTTATTGTTGTTTGATAAATTAATTTAGTGTTGTTAGTGCCATTTATTCTGTACTTTTAATGTTGAAAATCAAAGATTCCAATAATTTTTAATAATTTAATTTAGTGTAAATTAAAATAGGTCTCATAAGTAACAACAAAATATTCGACAAATTGATGTTATTTAAAAAATGAAGAGTATATCTTGTTTCTTTGATGTACCGTTGATAATTTATTATATCATGAATATTGTAACTCTTTTAGTTTTTTAATGTATCGAGATAATTTGTTAAAAGTCTTTTCCAGCCATACTCGCAAGTTTATTAGAACCCCTAACGATTTGTTAGGGTCAAAATATGTTATGATCAAAATAAAATTACAAAATTTATATAATGTAGGTACATGATATAAAAAAAAAAAAAGGTCAGGGACAATTTATTATTTTACTGATTATAATTATTGTTATTTAATTCTAATAATAATTATATAGGCCGACGTCACGGATTAAGAATTAAATCAATCGAATTTCGCTCAAACTCAGTTCGTGGAATTTTGTGAACATTTGAACGATTTAATATCCATACGTTTTAAATTTTTGAATTTTGATACATGTCCAATGAACCACCAAATATTATCGATTCGATCTTTCTACGATTTTCCCGGTTTTTTCAGGTTTTTTCCCAGTTCTTCCCATTTATTGGAAAAAAATCGTGGAAAAATCGAAAAATGACCTTCTTATAGTACCACCCCAATACGATTTGCTTTCAGGAAAAGTGCTACACTTCAAAATCGGAACAAGATTTCTGGTAAAATAGATGTCCACAGAAAAAAAAATACAAACATCTATGTAAAACCGTAAGCTTTTTCGTTTCACTCAGAATCTAAAATAAAATTGAAAACAATAAAACCATTATTTTTCCGTTCATTCTACGTTTTTTTTTGATTTTGCACAATTATTAAATTGGTCTGTTGACGCGTTGGTCTGTCAAATGGAGTTTTCTGTGAAAAGCTATAGTATATTTTTTCACGCGTGATAATAACAATAACAACTTCTAGATATTGTAATTTACCCTGTTTTTCCCCCTTTATTTTGTTTTCAAAAAACGTTAGAAAAACAAAACGTTTTTCATATGAATAAGGAAAAAATAAATCATGCAGGCCGCCATCTGCCCGAGAGTTATAATTTTTAGAATATACACATTACACATAGTAAACAGCGGTATAATAACGCTATAAAATTGGTATACGGATTTCAACTCAAAGTTGTATATGTCCGTTTAACTGCTCTAGGAAAATGTTATTCTTCCAAGTAGGTAGATACATAACAGTACGATTTACGAATAAGTGAAATAGTTCAAGAGTGAAACTTTTAAATCGCGTTTTTCGCAAAGACTCGCAAAATCCGAACCCAACAGTATTGATTATAAAGAGCTAGCCGCCTTAATCCTTTGACACACCATTAGAAGGCGTGTTGAATTGTATAATAACCTTTGCCTTATCTGGCCAATCAGAGAACTCCATTTTCGCCAGTGACTCGTTTCACGTATGGGAAACGTTTATACGCATTCGTGAAACGGTTTCCGGAATGTCATTATTGCCCGCGGTCGAATTATATTACAATGTGCAGTGACGCGGAAAAGAATGCACGTCAAGTCAGCGTGTTGTAAAACTACAATAATATATTATAGGTACCGTGTGTCCGAATCAAAAGTGTAAAGGCATAAAGGCCGTAAAGGATCTCGAGTACCCTGCAGAGTAGCGTAAAGTCTTATAGTGCCTTTGTGTTATCGCGAGTCCGCAAAGTCGTCGTCCGGGGATCGTCTTTTGGGATTTTGTCGTTTAAACGGACGACGACGGTGGTCCGACAGATAACATATTTCGCAAATGTTTGGTACCTTATCATACAGATTCACATGCATTTTGATGATATGCAAATGAATCATCCCGGGGTTAATTATAATACCGCGTAGTTTTCTTCGAATACGATTTAGGTTTACACTATTAGAAGACCAAGATACTCGGCACATTATTAGTTTTGGACCGACAGGTGGATTAAGTTTTGTAATTATTTCTCATCTGCTTTATCTAAACCCGTGGTAGTTTTTCATGGACTCATCAATAGGTCTTAGACATACACTTAGGGCGCTGAATTCTTCAGAGCAGTATCGGATTTAGACGAACAGTGATTTTCAATTTATTATTGAATAGCGTAGCACATTTATTTTATAATTTTAACCGTGTCTGTCTGACCGAATTCGCTCTATCTCACATACGGTTGTGAATTTCGGAATATCTACGATTTTCATTCCACGATTAGTTTAGTTCTTAATAAGGTCCCCAATGATTTTCAGTCAAATCGGCGAAAATCTAGAGTTGCTTTAATTATTGTGAACTGACGGTACTTCATCGCGTTTTTATATGTTCGTTATTATTATAGGTATCGGCTGAAAACGTGAATTAATATATGTATATGTAATTAATATGTATGTGAAAACAGAGTCCGTGAATAAAAAATGCGTGCTCGCGTGTACTTTATATACGTGCATATTGTTATTCATGTTCATGTGTTTTTATGTTGCTCACATGAACAAGTTGTGTAAGTACGTGAAAAATGAAATAAAGTACTTTAACATAAGTGTACTCGGATTCTGTAGGTACGCGGTCTTATAGATTCGAATGTCAATTTCACGTAAACACGTGAAAGCCTGTGCACGTGGAATAGATATTTATAATTATTATTATTGTTGCAGTGTCATTTCGTCCGGGTCGGCTGTATAGCCGCGAGTCGATTGATAAGGTTCGCAAAAGTACTATAACAATAACGGAGTATACGTTTTTGAGCGCGTTTATATTTTGACGGTCGTCCGGGTTTTCATAATACGACGGCGATTTTTCTCGCCCGTGCGTTTCGGATTTCCCCCCTCTCGGCGTACACGGCGGATAAATCAACGTTACGGTCGGCACTCGGGTTTGAAAAATTATCCTCGGCCAGGTACGGGCGCGCAAAAATAATATATATAAATGTGCGCCGGGGAAAAGTCGGAAACGACGTTGGCGGAAATCTAAAACCGCCGAAACTTTATACACGACGCTCGATTGTTTAACCGGAGCGCGATATATTATGCATGGTCTCGACGGCGTGAATATAATTTGGAGAAAATTAGACGCGAGGTATAAATGTAAATAACATTTTCTGCCTGCGGTCCTCGGTCTGTCCGTTGATTGGCCGCGACTTACCGCGCTGTCCCGTCAAAACGCAAATCCTTCAGCTCTCGATCAATTTCCATTACCGCATTGCCCTCAAGAATTTGCGGTGTACATTTCTCCTGTCACCTCTTACGGAACCTTCGGCAGTCAAGTTCGACTAATAGTCTCGGATTATTTTCCCCGTAGACGAACAAATTATTTATTGATTTGTGCCCGCCCGGCCCTGCCCGTTTCCGTTCGTGTTTATTTTAAAGGCGCCGATCGCCGTTTGTTTAATTCGCGTACTGTTCTTCGACGTCCATATCGAGCCTATCAATTCCGCAATGTTTTTCCGCCCGTCCGAAAGGCCCGAACGAAAATCATTATAAATAAAATACGACCTGCGGCGCACACAAATAATAATGTATCACGAACACTCATACTCGTATTGTGTACACGTCTATATTATCGTGTTGTGCGCGTCGGTTTCTTTCACCGGAACACAAAAGCGAACTTTCGACCCGTGCGATTTCGAGGGGTGAAAAAACTTTTTTTCGTGATTCATTTTGCGCGCGCCGGAGGCTATTGAAAGGCGCGCGGTCATGCAACACAAATAGCATTGCGGCGCAGGTGACTCATTCGGAACGTTTCGGTTTTCGGCAGGTGACGCGTTTTGCAGCGCTTCGCCGCGGCCGACGACGAGCCGTAACATCGATCGGCGGATAACGATGTCGTTGCCGTGCCACACACGAATAACCGACACGTAACGTTATTATGACGGAGAGCCGTCTGGACGGCGATTATGCCGATCGATTCGCCCGCGCGGTGTTTAACATAATTGTGTTTTTCGTTCGACGAATATTATTATTATTATTATTATTATTTTTTTTTTTTTTTTACACCCGGAACCGCGAAATACGATTTTTTCTTCTTGTCTTTTGTCCGTACGGACAAGGCCCGCGAACCGTGTAACGACGTCCGTCGGAGGACTCGGCGAAACGCGAAACAAAAACTCGACTAACGGTCATTCCGCGTTACGTCGAATTTCCCACTATGTCCCGTCTTCTCGTATTTCTCGTCGGTAACAGTGGCCAACCATCTTGCGAAATATTTCCGTATTTCAGATCCCGAACGTTGCCTGGGTACTATTTTGGTTTTACTAAGGTGTTTATTTTTTTTCCTTTTTTCTGGTCTGTGGACACGTTTTTTTTTTTTTTTTAGAAAACTTGCACCGAAATATAAGTGTTATAAGCACTATATCCGAAAGGTCAAGTTGTCTAAATTGTTCTTTAAAGAGGTCACTTTTTGATTTTTTTTTTTTTTTAATAAAATCACTTTAGTGGGAAAAAACGTAGGAAAACGTACAATTTCACGATTTCGTTATTTAATAAAAACAGAAAAAATGATTTAATCGAAAAATCACAGAATACATTTTTTATTGCCTTTTTGATTTAATTTATTACGGTATTATCGTCAAAACTTTTGAGCCGATTTTAAGTTTTTAAGGAATTTTTATTTTTGTCATTTTTTTCTGTAATTTGGTTATAAAGACACGTAGAGAGTTAAAATTTGGTAACAATACTCATATTGGACTTATCTAGTCGTGGTACGATGATTTCTAAAATCACCGGATGACTTTTTTTTTTTTTTTTAATAAGCTTTTTGAAATCAAATTTCAACGAAAATCGCAAAAAAAATTACGGCATTTCAAATTATGTATTACCGACTGCGCTCGGCATCGTTGTTCGTCAAAAAATGGTTTTTCTTTGCTTACAGATATAAATAAAACCTTATGTGTCTTCCTTTCGAACTTCTTACCTACAACAGTGCTGCTCTCATCCCCAGTATCAGCCCTCTTTTTTTTTTTTCTATTCCACAATAATTTGTGACATACGATATTAAATGAAAAATATCAAGTATGAAACATGTCACATTATCAATCTTTGTTCGTTTATTATTAATCTGCAATTTTCATGAAATTGTTTGATTTTTTTAATTATATTATTTACGACCTAATGGCAAACCCAGAGAACGGTGCCTCGTCGTTTTCGAAGAACACCTTAAGGAATCTGCAGTAAATTTAAGACCGGGATAGATGGCGCGATGTTGTTTTGGTGGCGAGAACCCTTAGAGCCTATAATGGCAGCCCACTGTAAATATTATTTGAAATCTTGTGTTGTTTTTTTTTTTTCAAAGTTAAATTTTTCATTCGTTTGTACTCGAGTAAAAACATATTGTGCACACGGGTCAGTAATTATAGTATATTATATTATTTAATGTCGATCAAATAGAATAGCCGTACGACTACCGTTAGAAAATCTCCCCGTATTTATCGACAATAATTAAAGTTATCAACAAATATCGTTGTACAAGTAGAAATACATAATAAATTGTGTATTTAAATAGTCCCTGATATTTACGTAGTTTGAATAAACAATAATAAACAGAAATTATTATCTCAAATAATGCGTTATAACACAACACTATACTATACTATTTCGAACAATATCAAATTTCCGTTAAATTTATTTATCGATTATTCACCCGTGGTTTTATACGGGTGTATTCATATACTATGAAATATAATACTTTATCTAACATATATGAGCACACACATACAAAAAACACAAAACAAAACCCTATTCATAAACAATTGACCGCTGTAAAACTGCATTCTTATCTATATAATAGTATGGTTTTTTTTTCTCATCTTAACACAATAATTATCAATAACTGCCAACAAGATGTGTAGGGCGTTCACGATGGGGATTCAAGAGATTCAACTGGGATGACGGAGGTAAGTAATACTTTTAATGTCAATGTTAAAAAAAAAAAATAATAATAATAATATTAATAATAAAAATCAATATATTTTTTTTATAACTCTTTGATAAAGTATCGATGAACAGCGGACGTTTATATGGAAGACAATAAAAGAAAAAAAAAAACGAAAAAACATTAAACAATAAACAAAAACCACAGTACGATATTAAATTTTTGTGGAACTTCGTCTTCGTCGGCGCGCATGCAAATGCCATTATGCGAGTATGCGTACGTATTATTTATTTACACGGGTAGTGTGTAAATTCGGGTCTTAAAATAACATTCGATTGGCCCGTATTTTTTTCCATTCATTCGTTATTTCCCTGTCACTGCATGACTATAATAAATTCAAAACGGATCATTGACGTATAGTATATACACATAATATATGTATAGGTGAACGGGGATTTGTGCGATGGCCCCGAGGATTTTAAAATACTACAAAGAAATAATTTTAAATATTTAGACGTGGGTAAATCTAAAATTTTGAGAGGATGTCATAATATACCGGCGTGTGTCGTCACCGTCTTTATAATGCGTGACCTAGTGAAATTTATTACTTTATTTGGAAAATAAATTGTAATTTGTGGCGTTTAAATTGAAATTTAATCATATCAAATAACAAAATTGTAAAGAATTAAAACAATGTGAAAAAAAATGCAAAGAATAGGTGTAAATATTTATGTGACAATTTTGTTAGAGAAAATCTATTTACATCTTTTAGGTATATTTTCTTATTTGTAACTATGTATTTAGCTGTTAAACATAAATTAATACATAAATATTTAAATTGGAGTTAAATTTTAATTATTAACCACAATTCCAAACAAAAACGTCTCGACTTACGTTCCAAGTCTATAAATGAAAAAGCGGGGGGAAAATACGGGCAGACAAACAGACGGATTTGGCCTGGTCTGGGACGAGACGAATATTATTTTAATATATTCTAAAGTAAAAAGTAAAACAAAATCGAGTTTAATCATAATAATCGTACTATTGTGTTGTACACAATGGCGTGAGCAGATGGAGTGTTGCCAGGGTCCATACTCCCCTCACCATTAAGTATTTCGAATACAACAACACTATGCGTAATATAGGCGTTTATTCAGTATACCTTATTTTCACACCCGCTATTATTTATTCGGCAGAATCGAAAGGAAAAACTCGATTTATCGATTGTGAAACGGCTTGCTGTAGATCCGGCTTTGAAATTCACACTGTCCGTAAGACGGGTACCAACAGATAAAGGATCGCGTGGGATTCGTTTACGATTCATGTTCGGATATAAATCCTCTTTCCCGTTGAAAATTCCCGGACACGCCGCTGGATTGTATACGCGTTTATTACTTCATAATAACTGCATCTTAACGCGGCCGCTCGATACCTTTCGTTTGGACGGGCCCGGCCATTCTCGACTTTACTACGGAATACCCGTATTTGGGCCCGTGTAAAACGGTGGCACGGACACGCGAACGGTTTCTGCCTGTTGGCAAGGGCGTTTCTACTAAGGGACCTTCGATTCGACGACGTTTTGTCACACTCTCAAACTCGTTGATTTCGTCATCGGTAATTGACGGTGGTTCGTTAACGAAAGGTCCTTCGTCATCCCGATGATGACCGCCATGGCGTTAACCTTTCGGCGGTTTGCATTCGACAAGCTGACATTACGACAATGTCCCAACAATGCGACGGAGGTGTATTTTATTTTTATTAAAAAAATCGATTAATAAACGTTATAAAACTGTACGAGTTGTTTACTAACCAAACTGAATGTTAATCTACAAGAAAGTTTCCGTGCAAATTTTTTATTGGAGTAAGATTTATAAAACAAAAGTTGTTTACAGACGTGCACAAAAAAAAAAAAAAAATAATTTAATTAAAATATGCACACAAATCAATTAAATTTGAAATTAAAAAAATATTTATATTGTTGATACAGAACCGAACAGAAAAACGAACGCAATAAAGATAAAAATTTAATACATAAAATAGCTATCTCGGATTCTAAAAAAAAAATTTATATTATTATTAAAAAAAAAAAAAACAAAAAAACTAGGTATTCGATAAAAATAAAAAACCAATATATGCTTGTTAAATAGTCCTGTAATAACATCCGCACATATACCCGGAACGTAAGTAGAACATACGAGTAGATAATGTAATGTAATTAGTAATTACAGTTAAATAACTCGCTGTGAAACAAAAGAATGTTATAAGAGCGAATTTGTTACACGCGTGCATAGTCCTCGTCTTAAACAAACGCGCGATATAGCAGACGTTTAACAGGAACAGTTGCAGTATGCTGTCGGCTTCCATATTAGAACAAATAGTCATTATTTTTATCGAACTAATCGAAAAATGTTTAATGAAATACTCTTACATACATTTTTCTTCCTACTGAAAATTGAATAATTAGCGCGGTTAAAAATTACATTTTTTTTCATATATATTATACATACATAATTAAAATAACATCCGTGAGCAGCGAAACTCCGCCACTGGAGTCACTCGTCTCCGTTAAATTGTATAATTTTTTTTTTCTATAAAAAAAAATAAATATGTTTTACAGTTTAGATGTATTAACCTTATACACGCCTAACGTTGGCACGACACATGATGCGTATTTCATAGGAATCTCGGTTTTTAATGCATTGCAAGCATAATTCTTCGTTTAAAAGATATTTTCATCTTTTATTTTTATTTACAATTCGCATAGCTGATTCAAATATGTATAATTTTTTCTAAAACCAAATAAGAATTTAAATTGCATAGTATTATTATATAGTTATCATACCGTGTACGCCACCTAAAAAAATAGGCATTTGTTGCTATGTCTTTATTTATTTTTATCAGTTTCTCAGGTGTGGGAGGGGAGGGCGATGTTCGAAAACGTAAAAAAAAAAAAAAAATATAATATAATACTTACGTACTTATTATACCTACACACGGTGAATTATTTCGAATACCCGTATGATTAGGAAATCAATAAAGCCATGGGGTGATGGGGTTAAAAATAACACACTGCGTAATAATCGTCACAACAAAAAAAAAAAAAAAAATGAGTGTACGCTGTACAGGTATAATGTTATAATATATGTATATATCGATATTCATCGCGTGACCTCGTTCAGCGCATAGCGGTCGTGAAAAACTCTATTAAAAAGATAAAAAAAAAAAAAAAAATGAAAAAAAGATTTAAAATTATAATTTTGCTGTAATACACGGGGGGCAGATCGAGATCTCTAATCGAATTGAAGTATCGGATTATACTGGCCGGCGGTTGTTTTTTTTTTTTTTTTTTTTTGGACAATCTGAATTGCAACGCAATTATTTACGACGGCGAATTCGATTCCGCTTTACCGGTAGACTGTGTTGTTTACCAAATACGCCGCGCGCATTTATACGCGGAGCAATTAGTTCGTAACAGGTTAATCCGCGTGTCCGTGCAACGCGATGCCCGGTACATTATATCGGCAAAGCAACGGACGAATCGCGACGGAACCGCAATACCGTGGAAGCCCCCGCGATGAACGCACCGCAACGTATCCGGAATAGCCGATAACGCAGTAAATGCACTGGAATCTGCGAATTATTACGGACGCGTAAAAACTGCGTTGTCAATCGGCAAAAACCCGTGCGGTCGTCGCATAAAAAATACGCCGGGCGCATGTTATTGTGTGTTATCGTCGGCGACGCTGTGACTAATAAGCCGTAAGTATACGTTGTTATTGTTATCCGCGTCCCATTACGCCGCCGTTCCGAATTCAAAATCCGCGAAGGACAGCAGTATCACCTACGGTACTGCGAACGCGCATCGAAACACCGAACACTTATGATATTTTAAACGCGTCGGGTGTATAGGACGATTTCGTTTACGCCCGTGCGCAGCGACGAATCGCCGACAGCGAAACGCGATTCTGAGCGGCGTCGGTTTAATCGTATTTTTACGAGTTTCGGTTGATGAACGGTTCATATAACCGCGAAATGAATTCCGACCGTCCGCGTTTTTTCCGTCTCGAATTCTTCACCGTTTTTTTTTATGGACCCGAACGAACTTTTACGTACGCACGCTCACGTTTTAACGTACACGTTTTTTTTTTTTTTTTTTAAACGAATTGCGATTACGGATTTTCCGAAATGTGTATATCGCCATAAAAACAACCTGTAATGAAACTTGTATTGAATTTTCGCGTAGCCGCGAATAGCGACTAAAAGAAACTCGAACGGTTCAAATGGCTATAAGTGAAATGTTCTGCAAATTGATCAAGTCATTGTAAGGCTGATATACGTAGTTGGTGAAAACGTCGGGCGTCTGCGATTACGTGTAACTGAATAATAATAATAAAAACTTAAAAAAAAAAAATAATAATAACAGATGCCGTTATCGCGTACGTTTTCCCGGCTTTTTTTCAATTTTGAAAAATAAAACTACAATATATGAATCAAAGCATTACGTCCCGGAAGCACGGGACTAGACAAAACTATAGCTACCGGAAACCACGGCCGAAATCCACGATCGGCGCACGGTTTTCGGTAGAAAAGTCGTTCGCAGACACGATAAAACGCGTTCGGACAAAATCGACTTCAGACGTACTACACACGTATATGTACCGGAATAATCGCAAACCGTAACGGACAAACCGCGTTTTTTGCAATATCATACGGACATAATGTATTATACATTATGATACATTTGTGTACGGTGCTCGGACGTTCGTTAAACAACATAGGTACGGTTAAAGGACGCCGACGAAAGGTTTTTGAGGCCAAACTTTAAAAAAAAAAATTCGCGTTAAACGTCGCGGCGACCAGCGACCGTAATTAAAATATAGTTATACCTAAGTATTACGTTATCTGAACGGATCGCGCGAGATTTCTACACGTCATATTATTATCATATGCGCCGCTACCGACCTAAATGATCAGGGTCATTCGGCCGAATATTATATTCCGTACGCAATTATTACGTAGTTTTCGGTTTCGAGCTGCCGAGGAGGCCCCGGGAAAGTTTGCACGCGCCGCCGTAATCCCGTCAAAGGTAAAACCCGAAACGGGCGGGGAAACCGGGAATGTTACAATACGACATTATAGGTATTGGGTATGGACGCTCGTAAATCAATAATATTAAGCCTCTAAAGGGAACGTTTCATCCCGTATTTTACATTAACAGGTATTTAACAACGGTACCGTTTAATTATGACGGGCGGCCATTTTATCAACAAGGCCGTTTCGTTAAGACATTATATACGAACACGATTTAAAAAAAAAAAAATAAACCAAACTGACCCGCCTTCTTTTGTTGTTCAAGGAATCAACAGAAATAATATACCTATTATAGCTATACAGTGGGTGTTGTAATAATATTATATTATATAGCACTCACATGTATAATTCAGTTTAACAGACCAAAAAAAAAAATAATAATAATAATAATAATAATAATAAAGAAAATAGTATTAAATCGTAATATTATTCGAAATAATAATACGTGACTAAAAAAATATATTCTATTACATCCATTAACCGTCGTTCTGTTGCGTTCATTCGTTCAGCTGAGTAAGGTCAACTAGCACTTATTTTAGTTGAATTTCACTTGGTTTAAAATAAATAAAGGTAACGATCGAATTGCACTTAGGTCGAAAAAGTCTCTCAGAAACAGAAAGAAAATGCCAAAAATCGCAAAAACACC